GCTAACAGCTTGCTTCTGTAACTCCTGTGCACTCATTCAGTGGCACCCTTATCCCATGAAAGGAGCAGTCTCTGACTGGATTCTTTTTGCTTGCCTCACCTTAACCTCATTCGCACTTCATGAAACCACCAGATATCTCTGTTGGACAAATCTTGCCTTTCAAGAGGAGTAGCAAGGGCAAGAAAACAAGGTTTAAGGCTTGAGATTTATTAATTAACGTGACTGACAGTGTTTGGTAGGACTCAATTCAGTGACCCAGACCCTTCTGGACCCATGATCCTAAGTTAAAAGAAAAAGCTTGGTTCTTAGAGCAAGGTACAGCATGAAGGGAGGTTATAATGCACTGGCATGTTTCATGTGCCTTCCTACACTTTGCTTGCCAATTGCATTCCATTACTTGCTTGTCCTCCACTTTTTTAATCTCATTTGCTAAACTATCTSTTGCCTGCATCTCTTCATCCTCTCCCATTTGATGTTCATTAGGCCAGTAATTACTTCTAATTCAGTGCTTATGAACTGAGGCTGGTATTTATAAACCTTGGTGCCAGGAGTTCGACAGTTGTTCTTCGATGTCCAAGAGAAAGTCAAAGCTGTTGACATAAGTGGGAGTCATGAACTCTTAATGTGTAACAGTCCCGTGCTGCCGTTTGCGCAGTGCGGAGAGTGGTGAGGAGGAGATATCTGTTAGGCTTTCTGCCAGTTGGTTATTCACATGGTTCATTTCAGGGAGGAGAATAGCTTTAAAGGCTGTGTTCCCTAGCAGCTGCAGCCATGCTGATGAGAAAACAGGGCATTTTTACACCAGCTGGCAGCAGCAAAGCTCAGCCTCCTGGTCAGTCACCTCAGYTCCCCAGCACCCCGGCCACCTAAGTCTGCAAGCTGGAAGGAAGTGACAAATGAAGAGGGAGACAAAAGAGGATGTATATGTGGACTGGCATAAAAAATAAGGGAATAATCCCTAGAACATATTTTTATTTACTTGCAATCTTTGGTCAGGTTTACTGCAATATATAACAGAAATTGTCTTTGAACTACCTGCCTTTGAATTTACCCATTGATACATTTCCATTCCTCGCCTTTTGTCCTCTCCATGCTCATGTGTGGCAGCACCTCATGATATGCKCAAACATTGGTGTCTGATGGGGCAAACTGTACCCAGTGGCCTAAATTATCCCTGGGTGCWAAAGTACAACCCTGGTCCCTGCTTCGTGTCAGTGCTAGGAGTGTACCCAGTAGGACTTACCTCACCAAGCAGAAACAAGGAGAAGGTAACTGAGAGCTTTCATCATAGCACATTACTGTTGTAATTTAAACTCAATACCAAATGTCATAGGAGTATCAGAAATATTTGAAGAGCCAGCAGTCTGCAATAATAATAAAACAATATGCTTTATAAAGAACAAAAGTGTGTAAGATTCTTCATAGACATTTATATCATCTCTTTATGTAGGTGTATTCACGCTTAAATGATCAGAATTCGTGTATAAGAACTGTATTACAGACTAAGTTATGTAACAACTTTCATCATTTGAAGTTAGATTTCATTTCTAAGCTAGCTACTTAAAACCTCTGCTGTAGTGCAGGTCAGATTAAACACCAGTTAACATAACTAGTTCTTTGTTAGAATCTTTAATTTTGTGGACAAATACTTAGCTTTAAAAAATGCATCACCTGTAGCACATTTAAATACTGGGCAGATACAAGCATAACTTTTTGTAATGACATTCACTTTAAGGGGAAAGAAAAAAAAAGCTTTTCTCATAGTAGTAAGGCATTGGAACAAGTCATCTGGAGAAGTTGGGGATGCCCCATCCCTGGAAGTTTCCAAGGCCAGGCTGAGTGGGCTCTGAACAACCAGGTGTACTGGACGGTGTCCCTGCCCATGGCTGGGGGACTGGAGCGGGATGATCCTTAAGGTCCATACAAAACCTTTCCATGATTCTATGAAAAAAACCTGAAGAATTAATGGAATATGTAGTAATAATGTAATGCTTTGAAGAAGGAACATTAGGGAACAAGGCAGAAGTAGCACTGCTTTCCAAATAATTTTCTGGGGCTAATTAACTGATTAGATGGTTCAGCTACTTTTAAATAAAATACTAGATTATCCCCGGTACCCAGGTTGAGGTTCACATAGAATATCATTGTGTGTAAGTCGTGATTTAAAGGAACATAGTCAGAATGGTGCTCATTCTGCCTTAAAACAATTAAATGTTTCAAACAATTTCTAAGTTGTGTTTGTCTCATGTAAGTCGTTGTTCATTGTCAACAGCCTTTCCTTTGATAAGCAAAAGGTGTTTACCATAAATGAAGAAATAATAGGCAGTCCAAACATGGCCAGCATTATTGAAGCACCTAACCTGTGCTTGTAGAAAGTGAATAGAAATAGTACTGTGCAAATTGTAAATGCACTGTGGTTCCAGAAGGGGTTGTTCCATCAGCTTACTGAACTTGTTTTAACAGTATTTTCGTTATGAAATGCTGTAACATAAAAACYACAGCTGAAGGTTTGTTTATAATCAATGTTCTTTTATTCAGAGGTGGTTTGCAGCTAAGACATAAATTAAAATTTAAGACAAACTTTCCCTGGATTCATCACTCATTTGTGGAGTGCTTTCTTTTCAAGAGCCCAGCTATTTATCAGTGCTATGGTTAGGGCTGCACCACTCCTGAAGTATCTACAGCAGTCCCACATTTCATTGTAACTCAGTCAGTTTTCTGGAGTCAGTGAACATTGTAACATAAGAAAGATGGCATAATGGCAGATTTAACAACGATTTTTGGAGCTGCTCCCTAGCTGTGGGACCACTGAACTATTCATGATCTCTAAAAAGAGCCAGTGATACCTTTTCTCCAGATCTGTGGTTAGTCAGAATTAAGTAGGTATGAGTACATTTCTCARAAATCATGTTGCAAGACCCAGAAGTGTCCTGTCTCTGACACTGCAATGCAGGAGAGCACATGCTAACAAACTGCAAGTTAGCTCTTTAAAGAAATAACCATGAATTCCCCTATTTCACCTGAGCAGACAAAATAAACACATTTTTTCACAAACCTCTGCCTGTCTTTCCCCTTCCTATGGTTCTCTTGCAGGGTCAGCATCACTCCAGTTTTGCTCTCTTCTCCAGCTGCTTTCGGCATCTCTCAGCGCTTGCTAATCTTATGTGGTATTTCATGAGTAAGGGAAAATGTCTCTTTCTCCACATCACCTTTGAAGTTTGTCTGTGGGTTTGTGCTCTGGCAGAAGCAACCCCGAGTTCCTTTCAGCACTATCCCAGTCACACTTGTGCCTCACATTTCTCGCCATGTCCATCTCTTGCTTCCGTCCTACTACTCTGCTAGGTTGTGCTTTCTTGCTGTTGGAGGGCAGCAACCAGCATAAGGCAGAAGGCAGGTCACCTGCCTTTCCTGTTTCTGTTTGGCTGGAAACCGAACTCTGGTGGGTAGRTCTTGGCTGTCTGCCAGGTGCACACCCAGCTGCTCTCTCACTCCCTCTCCTCCACAGAATGGGGGGAAGATAAGGTGCAAGAGCTCAAGTGTCAAGATAAAGACAGGGAGATCACTTACCAATTACCTTTACAGACAAGTAGGACTCACCATGGGGAAAAGTAATTTGTTACTAATTAAAAGTAGATCAGGGTAGTGAGAACCACCATCCCCAAGCCCCTTTTCCAGGACTCTACTCCTTRATTCCCAGCTCTTCTCCCTCCCTGGTCCCAGGGGACAGGGACTGGGGACTGGGGACTGTGGTTAGTCCATAATGGTTCCTCTGCTGCTCTCCTCCTCACACTGTTCCCTTGTTCCATTGTGGGTTCCTGGTAGATAGTAGCTCCCATCAGGACAGTCTACTCCAGGGACTGCCCTATTATGAAGAACCTTCTTCCTCCCATCTCCTCTCATCTTGGTGTCTCCAGAGCTATTTCACAGAATCACAGAATTGTTACTGTGTGAAGGGACTTCTGACAAGGCAGGGTCACCTWGAGCAGGTTATACAGGAACACATCCAGGTGGGCTTTGAATGTTTCCAGAGAGGGAGGCTCCACAATCTGTGCAGCCTATTGCTGTGCTCTGCCACCCTCAATGTAGAATGTTTCTCACACTTTTTCTCCCTGACTCCTCTCTTGGCCAGTTGCTTTGCCTTTTCTTAAACCTGTTTTYCCTGAGATACCCCCACAGTCTGCAGGGCACGGATGAGCAAATGGGACTGTGTGTGTCCAGCGTGTTACAGCCCTTGCTGCTCCTTGTACAAATCCCTGCAGCTGTCACTGCCAGCACCTGGGCACTTCCTCCATTGCCATGCAGTATGGATACTGTAAGTTATGGACTAGTAAGACTGTCCTGCAATTCCTGATCTTCAAATATTTGTAAGACCTGAGAGACTATGTGACTTTTCAAAAAAATTTGTCAGCCCCCCTGCCATTGGTCACCTGAGCACTGGATGCCTATGTGAGGTTCCATATGTAGGGTGGAGTGAAGGATCCTTCAGAGGCTGACAATGGTGTTGGATTGTGTCCAAAATCAGGACAACTGAGGTTTTAGATGCCTAAATTTTAGTTGAGCGGAGTGACATGGGTTCCATCCTTGTCTCTTACAATAATCRCTCAGCATCAGAAATCGCTCCTTAAATTTTGCTGTCGAATGTACTTCTGAGTGATCTGTGCTGTACAAACAGATGTAACCATTTCCTTTCACTTTCTGAAGTCAGGTTACTTGAGGGTAAACTGGGTTTTTGTTGCATGTTGCATGTGCAGTTGTATTTCGGTACCGCTGAGTGCACTGGTCAAGCCTCTGTGAATTCACACATCTGCATGCCCTGGAAGTGCTCACATCCAGCTGTGGCACCGCTGGGTGACTTTGCACACCTGTCAGCTATTTGGGAAGCCCAGCCCAAGTGGTKCTATCCGGCCAGAGGAGGCGGATGTGTTGTGCGCCCTGATGTTGTTCTGGGACAAGATAAATGTCAGCACGCTCATATTAATCCATTATATGTCTCTTTCCAGCACAAATGGACCCCCGAGGCCTATCTCCCAGACAAATTAAAAGTGACAGTGATGATGACGACCTGCCAAATGTGACCTTAGATAGCGTTAATGAAACTGGATCCACAGCGCTCTCCATAGCCAGAGCAGTACAAGAGTAAGTATCACATTCCCAGAGCAAGATGAGTGTTGCTGAGGTGTTCCCAGGCTGTCGGAGGCACCAGTGCTGCAGGGCTGTGCTCCCGCCTGCCAGCACCTCTTCCCTGGAGCTTTGTTCCCTTAGGAAGAGATGACTCCATCTCACGTCTCTCTCTCATTCTCTTTTCCTTTCTTTCTCTGCCCTCGTTATTAGGTTGAGTTTCAAATTGAAATTGTTTCTTCACCTTGATTTACTTGTAAAGCTTGCAGTTGTATTATATCCTCTTAAAAGAAGACCAGGTTAGATTAMCACTCAAAAAACAAGTATTTTTTTCTTGATTGAAAGCAGCATTAGGAAGTTGATTCTAGTTGCTGTCAGGACTAACAGCATTTCTCCTGAAGGACAGTGTCATTGGAAGGAAATTACTGAGGGGCTTCGATCAGTTTTTCCATTGCTGTTATTTTTCTGTGTGCTTTTGCTAACTGGATGGTCAAATAATTTCTTAATTTAGTGCCTGYACTGCTTGTTTGAAAAAAAAGAAACAGTTTATCATGAACATTAACAATTCTGTAGATGCATGAGCTTGATCAGTCACCRTAGCAGCTGGAAGGGAACCAACTGTGAGGTAAATATGTATTAATATCCTCATTTTATAGGTGAGGAAAATGAGGTTATGCGTAAAGGTCACCCTGCAGGTCTGAAGCAAAGCTGGAAATAGAACTAGAGCCTCCAGGCACTGAATCCTGTGCTAGGCCCACAAAACATGTCRCTTTATCTAAAAGGCTCAAATATGGGCATTCTGGAAATTATTAAATAAGAATGTGTGTGATAAAGGCCATTAGACTTTGCTATTGTACAAATTATTATAGATGCATTTAAAATGTCTTAGTATGACATTTTTAAACTTTTTTTTGTATTGTCACCAGACATGTGCTAACGCATCTTCTAGCCAAGCACAGTAACTGAGAACCTCAAACTGATACTCTCCTTAAGCAGAGAGAGAGGTCTTTATGGGCAAGACAACAATGTGTTGGTTCTGTAAATAGCAGGATCCCTTTCTAACAATGATAAAAGAGGGGAAAAGTTTCTTCACCAGTGAGGTTAATGCTTAGGTCTTGTATGTTCTTTCAATTTTCTAGTTACGACACCAGGCCCTGAACTGATAAGTATTTTTTTCTCAATTTATAGCACACATAATAAGCCAGAAAAATGAAACAACATTTATTGCATGATTTCACACTGAATGGTTTTGTCTAACAGCTGAAAAAGGAAGTATGGAGCACTAGCAGATAATTCTAACATATGACTGGCAGGCAGATACTGTTCTCTGTGAGAGATATTGCTTGAACACTTAGAGAATTGGGCAAACCATGGAAAGCTTTTTTAGCTTTTTGTAGCTTCCACAGTTTGCGAAGGTAAATATGTTGAGTATTATTTGGCTGGCTCTRGAGCTTAAGAATTAAATTAAGAAATTTAATAATAGAACATCAACTCGTTCTTGTTACAGGTTTTATTTAAACAGTAATCTGTTAGTTTATTTCAAAAGCCCCATTAGGAAAATCTAATTTGACGGTGATCTGCAGTTTGTCATCTTTACTTCATTCTCGGTTTCAGACGCTGCACATACAGCTGCTGAGCTRAAAAGGAATGTTGGCATTTCATGCTGACTTCAGTCAATCTATTTCATACTTGGTCTCCAATATTGTCCTACAGGAAGGCTCTATTTTGATTTTAGGTTCTAATATGTACCTTAATATTAGATGTTTAGCAAAGGAGTACACTGAAGAAGCTCTCGTTCTACATACCCTTGTTGCAGAGACTAAAGTGCCTCTGAAGCCTTCCAAAGGGAGATCCTGTGTGCTCAATTTCAGCATCTAAACTTAGCAGACAGGAATTTCCTCTGAGGACGTGGAAAGGCACCTACTGTTCTGCTGAATAACTGGGCAGCACAGGGACATGCATAGAAACCCTGCTGCAGTAGTCAGAAAAGCRTAGGTCAAAGCCTAGTGCCTGAGGGAGGCCAGCTGGCCCTTGAGTCTGGACAACTGTCCCACAGAGTATGTTCTGTCTTAAGTGAGCTTGTAAGCTCTTTCTGGTGAATAGTTGCACAGTTAACAACAAAAAATTAACTTCTTACATAGACTGGCTAGGAAATACACCATGGCACTTCCAAAGTGATGGCAGTGCTCTTTCCTTCAGCACAGATTGCTGTTGTAGTCTGCTCTTTGTCAAACACAATACCAAGCCTAGTTTGTAGGYGCTGGTAGCAGGTGCAGGACAACAGTTGGCCTTTTCCTGCTTGTTCTTCAGACATGTCTTAAATTATTCTGCATAAGGATTGTGTATATAAATATATATATATATATATATTTGTCTGCTAGCACCTATTCTCCGAGAGCACTAAGGGATTTCAAACTCTGGGGTTTCAGTATCCTGYGGTAAACATTTGCTGTGGGTTGATCCTGTACAGCCCCTCACACAGTGTRTAGGGCTGTGAGGGGCTGCCTGGTGCCTTGCCTTTCCATGCCTCCTGCCTTTCCCTGTGTGCTGTTTGTGGGGCCCAGCATTTATTTTGCCTGTCTGGGTATCTGCATCCAAGCCAGTTACCTCACCTCCCTGCACACAGCCTGGGTAGCACTGGGCCCGTTCAGGCAGCAGTCCTGCTGCCCTGTTCTGCCTGTGTGATTTAGGGACAGGGAGAGAGACAGTCCAGCCTGTGAGCTGCCGTTCCTCTCGGTTGCCCGCGGGCGGTGCAGCCAGCAGCCTGGGACACACGTCAGCACTGCAGATCCCTGTGTGAGGTGAGGCTACGGCAATCCAGTGACTGACTGGGGAGCCACTGTGCCAGAAGCAGGGAGTGACAGGATCGTACTGAATGCTCCTGCATCTTCCCTTGCATCTCAGTCTGCCAGGTTTTAACAAGGAAATCAGCTGGGCAGTTTTTGGGGAGAAACTGTTGTTTTAATACAGCCATTTTTAAGCTTGTTGTTTTGGAAATTATGCTTACATAGCTGGGTCACAGGACAKTTTCGAATGCTTATTTGAAAGCTTTGCTTTTCATGTCCTCTTTAACTGGATGGCGTTCACCTGTCTTGCTGCTTTATTTCAGGTCCACTGTAGTCTTACAAGAACAAAATTCATAGCAATAAAAGTCGTGACAATGAAATGCAAAGAGCCACACGTTTGGCATTAGTTCTTATTTACACAAACAGAATGCAATTTGCTTGTGTATTTGTAAAGTGACCAAGTATGATTGTTTTTTGTCAGGGAAATTGCCTTCTTGCTGGAAGCTTTATGTTGGCTGAGCTTCCAGACTTCTCTCTYGGTAGTTCTTTTGGAATGACTTCATAGTCCTCCTTCAGTTGAACAAACCCAATCAATAATGTAAAGTTATAGATAAATAAAGTCATTATTTCAAGTAGGGTACTTTGGTGWAATTTCTTCCTGTGACAGTGCTGCTTTATGGCAGTTGCTATGCCTTAGAAAATATAGACTAAGAATAATTTATTAATCTCAGATAATATGCTCTGGCTGATAATAAATATTGCAGCATTATGTAGATTTCAGTGGGCTTTGCATTGTAAGCAGCATTTCACCCCTTTTGTGAAGTGTTTTACAAACTCATTTTGACATGTAACATCTAACAAAGAGCAGATTTGCCTCTATATGGCTGACATCACTGATGCTTATTACACAGCAAGAATAGCATCATATATATGCAGGGCCAAACCTCAGATTCACTCCAGCAATCTTTATGAAGCCAGGGGAGGAGAAGGCATTTGTCAAACCCCAGAAGATCAGTAGAACTTTTTTAGGGTTCCTCACAAGGTAGCATGCTTTTTCCTTAGCCTGGCAGCTTTTCCATCCCCAGGCACAACTATTGCAGCAAGCCTYAGGAGTTATCTCCATGGTACATAGTAATGCAAACCCTGAACAGAGCATTCATCTCATTTCCTGCGCGCTTGTGGGGTAAAATAAATTATTTTATAGCATACAGCTCTCTCTCCCTGAACATGCCTAACTCAAGATCTCTTACTTCCAGAGGCTGAGGGCAGAAGTAGGAGAGGCAGAGGGTGATTTTCAGCATGAACTTTTGACCAGTATATTGGTAAAAATCCAAAGATGCAGAAATTCCTCTTTCTCTCCAGACTTTTCTCCTTAGATGTTGTAGGTGGAGGAAATTCCTTTGATGGAACCATTTTTTCTTTCAAATGTCAAGGAAAAGAGGAACTGTGTGTATAAACTGATGATGCTTCAGATAGCATATTGTTTTTCTGGAATAATGGAGAGMCAGAAATTTCAGAGAGGAAATCCTGTCTGGTTGTAGTTATAGATGCAGTTAATTCAGAGAGATGGGATTTGTCATCTGTATRTGACTGTTGTGACCTTTAACATGAACTACTCTTTTCACTGAGCTGGGTGCCTGGGAGTGCTTGTGTGAAAACGAGATTGGGGACCCTACCCCTGTTCTCTTTGGCAGGTTAATGTGATTGATACATTGATGCTAATGTGATCATCTTACTTTATTTTTAAATTCTCTGGTGTCTATTACTGCAATACAGTAGGAGTTAGTTTTGGATACTGCACTAGTGAAAAAGAAATTGCACASCAGACAGTACAGCCACCGTACCAATGTACTCTCTTGCATTAATACGTGCTTTTCAAGTCTGATTTTTTTTCCTACATCTTTTTCTTCCTCCCCTTTTTCAATGTAAATCAACTTCTGTGGTTTATTTTTATTTCTTCTGAAGTTTGGATCTTTGGTTCCATCAACCCTTCATTTTTTACACTGGTATAATTTGTTTTCCTGCTTCAGTTGCAATCATTACTACTATTGTGCTAATTATCATAGTGAACTTTCACCTCATTTTTTTCTTCCACTTAGAGACAAAATACTTTGTCCCAAGTCTCCAAGAAACATAAGCATTTCAGCAGTGCTTGTGTGAACTTTGCTTCCCTCTTCTCTGGTACATCTGCCTGCCATGACCAAATGTTCGCATTTAAAACTGGCACAGAAT